CAACCCAAACCATTCCATCACTGTGTGATTTGGGGCTGCTGCTGTGATGAGGAGTTGCAGTGGGATGTTGGGGGCTCTGTTTTGGTCCCTGCTGGTGCAGGCAGCACCAGGGCTAAGCTGGCTCAGCTCCCCACGCAGGGCAGGCCCTGACTGCCTTGCCTGGACTTTGGTCCTGGCTGGTGCCCAGTGCCAGGAAACCAGGGGCACAGGAAACTGGGCATGGAGCTGGCTCCAGGGGCCTCAGGATCTGGCCATGCACGGAGGCAGAACCAGACCTGCCCTTCTGCCCAGGATGAGCAGGTGGAAAGGCTGAGACACTTGTCAGGGTGCACATCCCTGCTTTCCATGGCCCCACGGGGGTGTGGGGGGCTGGACTGGGGGTTAGGAGCCTCTCCTGTGTCCTCAGTGCTTCCCATGTGGGACAGAGCCACTCTCTCCCCACCTTGACTCTAGAGTTTGCTTTTCCAGCTCCCAGCAGGATCTGCCTTTGAGGCAGTGCCAGGCTTGTTTGGAGCTGTTTGCAAGCCACAAAGCCTCTGCTGGGCCTCTGGCAGCTCCCCCGTGCTGCTGGGGCTTGACTGCCATTCCAGCTGGCATCCCAGGGGCTCAGGGACACTGCTCCTTGTTTGGGATCAGCAGGGGCCCAGCCTCTGGCTGTGGTGCTGGCCTGGCTGCCCCCTTGCCCCGGGAGTCTCTTTGTTTCCAGCTCTCTGTGTTTCCCCTGACGCTGTGTCTGTGTGTCTGTCCCGCAGATCCGGCTGCGCTGCCAGAAGGGGATCCCGCCCTCGCTGCGGGGCCGTGCCTGGCAGTACCTGTCTGGGAGCAAGGTCAAGCTGGAGCAGAACATGGGCAAGTTTGATGTGAGTCCTGCTGGGAGCCCTCCTGCACCACCGGGGAGCGGGCACTGCTGGGGTGGCTCCTGTCACCAGGGAGGGGGCACTGCTGGGGTGGATCCTGCTCAGGCTTGGGTGTATGTTGGCATCTCAGACATCTTGTGGGGGGTGTCAAGGGTGTTGCTCACCCCAGTCTTGCCCTCCCCAGGAACTGGACCTCCTCACAGGAGATCCGAAGTGGCTGGATGTGATCGAGCGGGATCTCCATCGGCAGTTCCCTTTCCATGAGATGTTTGTCTCACGTGGAGGCCATGGGTATGTGGAGCTACTGTGTGTCCAGCCCTCAGCAGCCATGGATGGGGTGGGCACTGTCTGTCCCAGCTCATGGAGCCACACTCATGTCCCCAGTGTCCTCCCCATACTCCCACAGTCACAGAGCATCCACTGGCTGAAAACAGGATGGCTCAGGCCAGCTCTGACACCCAGTGAGGTGGGAATTGCCATGACAGGAGGGCAGAGGGAGGAGGTCGCAGCCTGTGCCCTCCATTTCACCAGGAAAATGCTGCTCCCAATGTGTTGGGGAGCAGCTGTGCCCCTGTGCTTGCAGCTGGGTCCCTGTCTGTCTGTGGGCAGGGTGGTTGTGTCCATGCCTTGAGTCCCAGATCCAGGCAAGATCTGCGCTCTGCTGTGTCCTGCAGCCCTGGGTTTGTGTGGAGAAGGGATCCCAGACAGGGACTGAGCCAGGCTCAGCCTGGCATGCACGGGGAAGGCTGCTGGGCCACATGGATGCCATGTGCCCGGCTGTGTGTGCCGTGTGTGCCCAGCTGTGTGTGCCGTGTGCCCAGCTGTGTGTGTGTGCCGTGTGTGCCCAGCTGTGTGTGCCGTGTGTGCCCAGCTGTGTGTGCCGTGTGCCCAGCTGTGTGTGTGTGCCGTGTGTGCAGCTGTGTGTGTGTGCTGTGTGCCCAGCTGTGTGTGTGTGCTGTGTGC